TCCTCCCAATATAAAATACAGGTGGCAGGAAAATCAGCTAATGTTACAAAATGCCACGTTGCACAGGGTGAATCGCTCATGTTACAAAGCCAGTTACAAAACGCCACGTTGCACAGGGTGAATCGCTCTGATTGCCACCTGGGGCGCAGGCTGCACAGGACATGAAGTGACCTTGACCTGCGTGTAGCACCAGCCTCGCACCAGCCACGCACGCTGTTGAACGGGAACCTGGCAGCCCAGCTGCGGGCCCTGGAGAGCCGCAGTGGGCGGCAGAGGCTCAGCCCAGCACAGTGGCTCTGCTTGGCTACTCCTCTCCCCTCTCGTCAGAGGTTGTAGGCCTCGTAACGGGGATGCAGGCTGAGCACCAGCCAGCAGCTGGTTCGCATCACCTACAGTGGCACGCGGTCAACGCTTCCCGTCAATCCATCCGTTTTTATTTCTTGGTACATGTGTGTTGTTCGAGTGTCCACAGGTTTTTTTTTTTTTTTTTTTTTTTGGACAGGCAGAGTGGACAGTGAGAGAGAGAGACAGAGAGAAAGGTCTTCCTTTGCCGTTGGTTCACCCTCCAATGGCCGCCGCGGCCGGCGCACCGCGCTGATCTGATGGCAGGAGCCAGGAGCCAGGTGCTTCTCCTGGTCTCCCATGGGGTGCAGGGCCCAAACACTTGGGCCATCCTCCACTGCACTCCCGGGCCACAGCAGAGAGCTGGCCTGGAAGAGGGGCAACCGGGACAGAATCCGGCGCCCCGACCGGGACTAGAACCTGGTGTGCCGGGGCCGCAAGGCAGAGGATTAGCCTAGTGAGCCGCGGTGCCGGCTTGTCTACAGTTCTTAACAGGTGTGGAGCAGAATCCCAGTCTATCTCACACTCTCCGCCCCCGCCCTAAGGCAGCCTGTGTCACTCTAACTCCCTAGATGGCTTCATGGCACTATAACAGGCCTCTGGGGATGCCGTTGTAAAGTGAGCAGATACAGTGGTGGGGGTTTGCAATGAGGAGTTCGCAGATGCGGAACTGGGAGCAGGTATGTGTGGCCCAGGCGCGAAGAGGCTGGGCCTGTGTCCCCGCTCCAGCTCCTGGCCCCGGCTTCCTGCCAGTGCAGTCCCAGGGAGGCAAACCCTGGGATGGCTGCACCCTCGCCAGCCCAGGCTCTCCCAGCAGACCTCCCCCATGGAGGTGCCCTTCCCCTGAGGCAGTTCCAGCCTGGACACCCAGGCTCCTGGGTGCGGCGTCTGGGGGCCGCCCCACGCCCAGACCCCAGCCCTTCTCCCCCTTGCGCTCTTGTCCAGGGCCTCTGCCCCTTTCTCCGACAGAACCCCCAAGTCGCAGCTCAGGAAAAGCGTCTTCCTTTTACGGAGAGAGCCATGTGAGTGGCAAGCCTTGGGGCAGGCACCAAGGAAAGCTATTGTTTTCTTGAACTCAAAAAATTAGGCAGCCAACGCTGTGGCATAGCGGGTAAACCTGCTGCCTCTGGCGCCCACATCCCGTCTGGACGCTGGTTCGAGTCCTGGCTGCTCCACTTACGATCCAGCTCCCTGCTGGTGCTCCTGGTAAGGCAGTGGATAGTGGGCCAAGTGCTTGGGTCCTTGCATGGAGTTCCCGGCTCCTGGCTTCAGCCTGGCCCAGTCCTGGCTGTCATGGCCATTTGGGGAGTGAGCCAGGGGATGGAAAATCTCTTTGTCTCTCCCTCCCTCTCTGTAACTCTGCCTTTCAAATAAATAAATAAATCTTAAAAAAAAAAAAAAAAACTAGGAGACATATGGATGGCATGCATCTTTTTGCCCTTTCAACTTTACTCTTCTGGCCTATAATTTGGATATAATGCCTGGAAGATAAGCAGCCCTTTTGCAATCACAAGACCAAAATGACAAACTAAGGGTGACTAAATGGGAGAGAAGCAGCAAGCTGTACTATCCCTGGACTTCTTTGCTATGTGAAATAAAAAAAAAAAAATACATGGTGCCATTTAGTTAAACACTAACATTTGCCCAAAGCTATCTTACCTGGTAACTATTATTTATCTATTGTATTTGTTTGAAAGACAGAGAAAAGGGGAGACCTCCCACTCACTGACTCACTCCCCAGATGCCAACAACAGCCAGGGATAGGCCTCCCCGAACGCCATGCGGGTCTCCCAGGTGGGTGGCAGGGGTCCGAGCACTTGAGCCATGATCTACTGCCTCCCAGGGTGCATTAGCAGGACGCTGGATGGAAGGGACGTAGCTGGGGCTCACAGCAGGTGCTCCACCATGGGCCGCAGGTGTCCGGGCAATGGCTCTCCCACGGTGCCGCAGCACGGCCCCAGCCCTGCTGCTCCGGCTCTGAGAGCCCAGACTTCTGAGAGCATGAGGGCTGCGGCGCGGCCGTCGGTGGCTTGCAGCTGCTGCACTGCACATCTAGGACTCTGCCTTCGTTAAGTACTGATGACGATGTAACCATGGAGCTTTTAATTCAAGCAAGCAGACTGGTCATGCCTCTCTCTGTCCCGCGGCGTGAACCGATTGTGAATGGACCATAACATTAAGTGTGACTGTGGCGAGGACCGGGGGACTCCAGCAGGAGGCCAGTGTTTCTGGCTTGGGCTTATTTCTGAGACAGTAGGTAGATGGGGGGATTTGTTCCTTTTATTTCAAAAATGTAACAGGCATATAAGGACTCCGCATGTTGCTAGGATACCTGTGATGCTTCAGTGCACACATGCACATACGTGTAATGCCCCATTCGTGTGCCTATGTCCATCACACATCTAAATTTCTGGAGAGTGAAAACATCCAAATCCTGTCTCTGTCTTTACAGAGAAATGTGTGTACGTCAGCCCTGCTGTGCCACGGGGCCCGGGGCTTCGTGCTCCTACCTGGCTTTCATCTGGCACTCGGAATGTGCCTTTCTCCACGCCGTCCTCTCCCCTGCCCGGCCTGACCACTGCTGGCCGCTGTTCTGCCCTCCTGTGAGAGCTCCCGTTTTTAGAGTCCACGCATAAGGGAGCTCACAGGGGACTCGGCTTGGCTTGTTTTACTTAGCACACTGGTCTCCAGTTCCACGCATGTTGTTGTGAAAGACCGGACGTCGTCCTTTTTCATGGCCGAGTACTATTCCACGGTGCAGCTGTTCCACGTTGTCCGTCTCCAATCACGAGTGGATGGCACTTGGGTTGTCACCCTCTCTCGGCTGTCGTGAGTGGTGCTCGGGTACGTGGCAGTGCAGGTGCTGTTGCAGCACACGGATTGCATCTCCTGGATATGTACACACCAGGAGCAGGACTGCTGGGCCATACGGGAGTCCTGGTCTTAGTTTTTTGAGGGAACTCCACACTATTTCCCGTAACGGCTCTGCTCATCTACATCCCGGGGTGGACGGATTCCTGATGGGGATGTTTATCAAACACATGCTTCCAGTCTTTCTTGCTCCTATACTGGCTTCTTCGTGGCATAAAACCACGAGGACAGGGAGTCCCACCTTCCAGAAAGTCCTACCTTCTCACCCACACAGTGAGATGAGGCCAATTCGGTTTGCACACTTTGAGCAGGGTCTGCCCACCTTGCAAAAGGTGGCAGGTGCACCTCTGTTCTCCTGCAGTCGCCCATCTCACAGAGGAGGGGCTGCCTGCCCTGGCGTGACACCCAGCTGGAGTGCCTTGGGCTCAGACCAACCCAGGCTCTCTCCTTCCCTCAGTGAAAGCCACTCGTCTGGAAAGCTGCTGGCGGCCGCAAGTGGAGCCCCTGCAGGGCCCTTCCTCCTGCATCGCCCAGGCCACCAGGGCAGACACCACCCCCACCCCCACCCCAGGCTGTGGCTTCACTGTCGCTTTTTTGTTATGGATTTCAGTTTTCAGTGCAGCCTCTCTTTATCCGTCTCATGTCCCCATGCCCTGCTGATGGGCGCGGCCACTGGGACACAGGCGGCCAGGGAGGCTCCAGTCCTAAGCCCTGGAGCCGGGCAGAGCAGGAGGAACAGGAGGAAGGCCACAGGTGTGGGGAAGGCCCTGGACTACCGGGCTGTGCTGGTGGGCCCGGTGTGACCGCAAAGCTCCCCACACAGGGGGCTCCCCTCTCCCCACATTTGTAGCCCCTCCTGGGAGTGAGGCAAGAGGCAGAGGGAGAGAGGAAGAAGAAGGGCAGGTGCAGGAAGGGTGGCGGCCAAGGAATGCACGCGGCTGGGAAATTGGGAAAAGGCCAGGGGGTGGATTCGCTCCTGCAGCCGCCAGGAGCCAGCACTGCTGACCCCTCGCCTCCAGCCACAGAAAACCCAGCGCGTGCTTGGGACTCTCAAGAACAAGTGTGTTGTTTTAAGCCGCGAAATTGGCGCTTTGTTGGTAGACAAGTGCAACAGGAAACTGATGTCGGCATGAGCCCCGCATCCTGGATTCTGCAAGCTGCCAGGCGGCTCGGACAGCAGCTGAGCATGTGCCCGCTTCCACACACAGCCCCTCCCAAGGACAGCACGGCGAGGTCCACGGGTGCCCATCAGCAGTGCCGTGGGTGAACAAGCGGAAAGACAGCCGCACGGTGAGGCTTTCCACGAAGCGAGGAGTAGGCGGCCGCGGTCCTGGGAGCCTCCGCACGGACGCGGGTGAGCAAGGCTGGAGCACAGAGCCAGGATTCCAAGGCTCAGGGCCCAGCGCGGGACGGGCCTGGGAACGCGCCACGCCTGGGCGCGCTAGGCGGCCGCTCCGCGCGTGGTTTTCCCCAGGGAAGGAACCCCGGGCAGGGCCGCACGCGGAGGACTGGGAACCACAAGCTAGCCTTGGCAACACCTGACGCTTTGTCTCTGGGACTCCACCAGGTCAACGAAGAGTTCCATTGAGGCTTCCTTGGGCACTTGTTGGCATCTAAGACGTGACATGCGTCTGGGGAAGTTTGCGGTGTCCCGGCACTGTTGGAACTACAGTGTGCCAAAGTTATAAAACCGCAGAAACTACGAGAACGGCTGGCCCCCCAGCCCCCGGGCCTGCGGCTAGGCGGCTCGGGATCTCCCTAAGAGGGGACAGAAAGGGTGCCGAGGACCGGCAGGGGCCGAGCGGGTCAGAGGGCGGCGGGAGGACCGGGGCCGCCCCTCGCCGAGCGCGCAGCCCCTGCGCCTCGCTCTCGGCCCAGATCAGAGGACGGGGTGGGGGCGCCCGTGCGAACGCAAGGCGGGGCCTCGCGGGAGGCCTCCGGCCCCGGGGACGGTCGGCTGGACCGCTGCACCTGCGGAGCGGCCGGGAGCCCGCGTCACCCGCGGCGGGGCCGCCTCGCGCGCAGTCTGGCGAGGTGCGCGCCTCGCGGCCGGCCTCCCGTCCGCCAAGCACCGCAGGCCCAGGGCGGCCTCCGCCGGGATCTGCGCTTCACGCCGCCCGGGAGCCCGCGCGGTACGGCGCCCTGGGGTCTCCGGCGCGGAGGGTGGGAGCAGCCGGGGCGGCGGCGGCGGGCGCGGCCGCGGACTCGACAGCGCGTCCCAGGCCGGGGTGCGGCGCGGGGCCGTGCGGGCTGCACTTGGGGAAACTTTGGTCGCGGCGGCGGCGGCGGGAGGACCTTGAGGGCGCAGCCGGGGTCTGCAGTGGCACGGCCTCTGTGCGCCCGCCGGACGCGCTCGGGCCCTGGGAACCCGCACCTTCTGGGCACCCGCCACTGCGGCGCCCCGAGCCGGCAGCGAGACCCCGCCGCCCGAGGGCCTCCCGGGGACACTGCCCGGCCACCCCGAGGCGCGCCCCAGCCGAGCGCGCCCTCGCGCCTCCCGCAGCCCGCGCCGGTTTTCCGCTCCGGCTTTGCGGCAGCTCAAGCTCAGCCGGGTCCCCGCCGGCATGCGGGTTCCGCCTCCTTCTCCTCCTAGCAGCGCGGGGCATGGACAGGGGCCACCCGGGCGCGGGCGGCGCCGCAGCGGGAGCGGCACGCGTGGGGCTACAGGAGCGCGCGGTGAGGGCCGGTGGAGCGGGTCTCGGCGGCGGCCTCCGGCTGCGGGCAGCGGCAGGTGCGGGCCGGCCGCGGGGGGCGGGCTGCGGGCTGCGTCTGCAGCCTCTGGCTCGGGAAACGGGAGCCACGCAGGGCGGGCGGCAGGGTCCCCGCGGCTTCGGGCGCGCACAGCCTCGGCACCAGCCTCGCAGAGGCGCACCTGTCCCGGCGCGGGCGCGCCATTTGCTGAGGGAGGGCCGTGTCCTGCGGGCGAGCGACGCGTGGACAGCTCCGCAGTGGCTCCGGGCAGCCCCCGTGCCACGGATGACGCCCTCCGCTGCCCGCCAGCCGCTGCCCTGGCTCGGGGAGGAGGCGCCGAGACGCAGCCCGCCCCCATCGGGGCCCCGGCGCCGCCGCCCCGGTCACCTTCCTTTGCCCTTCTCCGACAGCACCTCGGGCTGCTCGCGCCCGCACCGGGGACCGCCGAGGAGACCGCGGGAACGCGAGCGGCATCGCCAGCAGCCGGGAGCCTGGCCCCCGGAGTCCCCAGCACTCGGAGCCGCAGGTCTGTGCTCTCTCCCTGTCTCCATCCTTGTGTGTGTGTGTGTGTTGGGGGGGAGGGTCTGCAGAGAGGAGCCGGGATGCGGGGGCCCAGAGGGGCTGGGGGACACCCCAAGCCTCGTATCCACGGCTCCCCGGGCAGCCTGCGGGTTGCTAAGTGGCCATAGAGCACTTTTCCCGGCCGGTAGTCGCAGTCCCTGGGCGGCCTGGGGGCGGCCTCTCTCTGGCGAGGACACCCGTTGCGCCACGGCGGCTGGCCGTCACATGCTGCCCCGGCGGCTGCCCACCTCCGGCTGCCCGTCCGTGTGGTGCATGGGGCTGTGGGGTCCCTCCTGCGGGGAGGCGAGGCAGGGGCTGGGCTGAGCAGGGTGCGCAGGAGGCGTGTGGAGTATCTGGGCGTGGAGGCTGGCACCCTATGTCCTCCATAGGCCATTAACACCCACACAAGGGGAGCACCCAGCTGGGGGCCCCTCCCCCAGCCCAGAGGCACCCCCTAGGCAGTACCTGTATTCGGGGGTGGAAAAGCTGGAACGGGCACCTATTGAATTCCTCTGTGGCAGGTGAATTGGGATCTTTGCAAATCTTCAAGTCTGACAGGCCGGCATCCCATATGGGCCCTGGTTGGAGTCCTGGCTGCTCCACTCCTGGTCCAGCTCCCTGCTGATGCACCTGGCAAAGCAGAGGAAGATGGCCCAAGTGCTTGGGCCTCTGTACCCACATGGGAGACTGGCTTTGGCTGGCATTTTGCAGTCGTCTGGGGAGAGAACAGGTGGATGGAAGATGTCTGGCACTCCTCTCTGGAACTCTGCCTTATCAAATAATAATAAGCCTTTAAAAGATAATGACCCTCTTCACAGGCAGCTACAGTAGCTGGCATCTCCATTGTAGGGATGGAGAAGCTGAGGCCCAGAGAATGGCTTCCCAAAGGCTGAGAGCCTGAGAGAGACGAGCCAGGCCCCAGACCCACCCTGCTTCCTTCTCTGAGCCTGCAGGCTGCACAAGGGCGGGGCCGGCCCGGGGGCGGGGCTAATTCTGAGCCTCACACCCACTTGTTAGGCTCCAGCCCCTCCCCATCCCCCATGGCCAGACAACTGACTGATAGCAGAGAGCTGGGAACAGGCACAAAGGAAAAGAACTTTTCTGTCCTAATGAAAGGAAGACTGGGGGTGGCGTGGGCAGGAAAAGCCACAGGAGAGCCTGGCCTGTCATTTCCACTCGGCTCTTAAAGCGCCTTAGCCCACGGGGCCGGTGCTCCCTTCGGGGAGCCGGCCAGCCAAGCAGCCAGGGTGGGGATGTCACCTGTCGCACGCAGAGGCAGGTGCTTAGTCCTGGCAAGCAGCTGAGCGACAGGCAGGATCTGTCCTGCACACGCACGCACACACACACACGCACACACACACATGCACACACACATGTACACAGCCACACACATGCACACATGTGCACAGACACGTGCACACCCACCCACGCGCGCGCACACAGTCACCGGGCACCGCCCCCGCCGGACTGACCGACACGCACTGTGGGGTTTTCTTCACAAGGAGTGGAAAAGGCCGGGCTCCGAATGGGAGGGCTGCAGGTAAGGGTCCCGGGTGCCGCCGGGATTCCGGAGAGCTCTGGTTTCCTTCCATAGGACCTGACAGCTGGCGCAGGAGGCCGTCCAGGGAGAGCAAGAGCGAAACAGGAAGCTCTGAGTGATGTTCCCAGGTAACCGCGTCCCTCTGGGGCAGCGTCTGCGGGGGTGACTGGGGCCCTGCTGGGAACCGCTTCGTGTGGGGACAGGGGTTCGCAGTCGGGCTCACGAGTCTCAGGTGCGCGGCTTTTGGCTCCTTTTTCCTGGCCTCAGTCCCCTTCAGCCTGCAGACCCCTGCTCTGTCCCCTGCAAGTTTGGAGCCCCCTGATGTGCGTGTGTGGCCTTGCCCTGGGCACCGGGGGTCTGCCTCTTGGTGAAGCCCTGGAGGACCGGGTGTCTGTCCAGCCAGCCTCTCTCTCAGCCCCTAGCTCCCTGGATCCTGGCTAAGGGGCTCTCTTGTCACGGGGACCCCTCCCCTGCCGTCCCAGGCCCCTCTTCTCTGCAAAGGCTCCTGACCACTGCAAACCCTCACGTTCAACGCCCTGAGAAACCGCCTGCTGACGATCCCTCACCTCCATTCTCTGTTATTGAGAATATAGATTTTTTTTTCCCTTGTTTCTTTAAAGAATAACCACATAGCTCTAATGCTGATGGGGCCCTGAGACTAGAGGGAGGCAGGAGAGGAGTGCGGGAAATGGGCCGTGATGCGTTGCTAGCATCCAGCCCTCTAACCATGACTGTCTAATAATAACGCTGACACGCTAAGGGCAGCACACTTGCAGGATGTGTTCTTCGTGCGTTTCACTTACTAGATTCTGCTTTTGTGTACAAAGCGTGAGTTACAGGTCGTAAAAAAACTTGCAGTGTTTTATCTGTTATTTGGATAGGCTGTCCATCAGCGACACGACAAAAACTGTCTGAAGTTCTGAGCTGGAATTCCTCTGAGGAATGCAGTGAGTAGGAGGCACTGTCCCCTGGGAGGACCGCTGTGTCACTGTCACCCACAGGACTCAGAGAGGCCAAGCAACTTGACCGGGGCGAACAGCTAAGTAAGTAGGAGACCGGCACGGCGAGCCGGTTCTGTGTGACGCCAAACACTCTGCAGGCGAACCCCTCTCTCTGTGGAAGGTGCACTTAAACGTGGGCGTCTCCAGGAGCTGGATGTAAGAGCGCTTGTTGTTAATGTTGTCAGGATGCTTCAAGGGAGGGACAGTGTTAGAGTCGACTGCCCGAAAAACGTCACCAAGAGACATGTCTCTTATGCAAACAGCACGGGGAAGTTTTATTGATTATCCAGCATGCTGGGGCTGTCTGATCATCATGAGCAGAGCAGCCCCGAATAACCAAAGGTTAGGGTTTATAAAGGCAAAAACTGCAAAACCGGGAAGGGGAAGAGAATACACGGTTGTTAAGCGGTTGCTAAAGTCTTACAATCAGCAATTATGATCTTAAGACATAGACAAATCACATCTTCATTATTAGCTCAGGTAACCCAGGTGCAACCTTTTTACTTTTAAGCTTGAGCAATCATGCTAGGGGGTTTTTGTGTGTTGCCAAGGGTGATGTGGTGCACTGCTATTGTCCGGCTATTTGAGATCATAGTTTCGGACCAGAGTCTCACGGTTGGGGGGGGGGGGTGTTGCTTTCCCAGAATGCAGTCTCAAGTGCTCCAAAATGGAGTCCCTACTGTCAAGGTGCTACTTCATTCTGTCTTATTTTTACAGCTGCACCAGGAAGGTTTAAACCTGTAAGCTTAAGCTTAACTTTTTACACCCGCACATATACAATTTTAACTCTTCAACAGCAGAGGAGAACCATCTAGAACACACCGGGGATCTCTATGGAAAGCAAATCAGACTTAAACATCAGCTTTTTATGAAAAAAAAAAAGTATTTATTTGAGAGGCAGAAACGCCAAGAGCGCTGGTTCTCTCCCCAAGTCCCCACGACGGCCAGGGCCGGGCCTGACTGCAGCCGGGAGCCGGGAATTCCAGCGGGTCTCCCTCGTGGGTGGCAGGAGCCCAGCTCCCTGAGCCATCCCCAGTGCCTTCCACGGTCTACACTAGCAGGAGCTGGAGTCAGGAGCCAGAGCAGGAACCAGATGGGCCATGGGTGTCTTAACCCATGTCAGCGTCCTTTACGAACATGGATGAGGCAAGATCTTAGGAGAACTGCGAGGAGAGATGGGGCTGGCCTCGGTCATGGGGACTGCCCAGGGAAGACACTGAACACAAGACCAGACCGCAGACTCCAATGCAGGTCACGCATCAGAGAATAAAGTGGCAGGCAGCGTTTCCTTCAGAAAAATGTAACGTTTAAACAACTTTATAACTGCTCTACTAAATGTTAAACAGGAAGCAAACCAAGTGGATTTAAAAGTTGATAAGAAGGGCCGGCGCCGCGGCTCACTAGGCTAATCCTCCACCTTGCGGCACCGGCACACCAGGTTCTAGTCCCGGGCGGGGCGCCGGATTCTGTCCCAGTTGCCCCTCTTCCAGGCCAGCTCTCTGCTGTGGCCAGGGAGTGCAGTGGAGGATGGCCCAAGTGCTTGGGCCCTGCACCCCATGGGAGACCAGGAGAAGCACCTGGCTCCTGCCATCGGATCAGCGCGGTGCGCCGGCTGCAGCGCGCCAGCAGTGGCGGCCATTGGAGGGTGAACCAACAGCAAAAGGAAGACCTTTCTCTCTGTCTCTCTCTCTCTCACTGTCCACTCTGCCTGTCAAAAAAAAAAAAAAAAAGTTGTTAAGGAGGCGGGCGCTGTGGCACAGTAGGCTAAGCCTCCACTGCGGTGCCAGCATCTCTTAGGGGAGCCAGTCTGTGTCCCAGCTGCTCCACTTCCTGTCCAGCTCTCTGCTACGGCCTGGGAAAGCAGTGGAAGATGGCCAAGTCCTTAGGCCCCTGTACCCAGGTGGGAGACCCAGAAGCTCCTGGCTCCTGGCTTTGGATCGGCTCAGCTCTGGCTGTTGCAGCCATTTGGGAAGTGAACCAGTGGATGGAAGACCACTCTCTGTCTCAAACTCTGCCTCTCAAATAAGTAAATATTAAAAATAAAATAAAACGGTTGTTAAGCAGCCAGCGTTGTGGCGTGGCAGGTTAAGCCGCAGCCTGGGAAGCCTGCGTCCCACAGCCGAGTGCGGGGGATCAGGGCCTGCCTCCCCCGCATCCAGTTTGCTGTGAACGCGCGCCTGGGAGGCAGCAGGTGATGGACCAAGAACTTGAGTTCTGGCCACCCACACGGGAGACCCAGCTGGAGTTCCTGGCTCCTGGCCTCAGCCTGGCCCAGAGAAAGATGGATGGAAGATCTCTTTCTCTGTGTCTCTCCCTCTCTGTCATTCTGCCTTTCAAACAAGTAAATACGTCTTTAAAAACGTCATGACGACGGATGGTACTTGGCTTAGAGGTTAAGGTGCTGCCCATTACAGTGTCTGGGTTCCAGTCCTTGCTCCACCCGACTCCGGCTTCCTGCTGCAGTGCACACTACAGGGCAGCAGGTGGCGCCTCAAGGGGCCGGTTCCCTGCTCCGGCGTTAGCCTGGCCTGTCCGTGCTGTTGTGTGGACACTCACTCGGGGAGTAAAGCAGTGGCTGGGAGCTTCCTCTGCGGGTCTCTCTGCCTTTCAAATACAGCAACAGAAAAAATGAGTAACAGTTTAATAAAGTCGCTGTAACGTGCAGAGGCTCTTCTGGAAGGCCCTCAGCCCCCGGGGGAGGGGTCTGTCCTCCTCCACAGGCAGGGAGGTGGGCAGCTCACTGGCGCTCCTGCCCGGTGTCTCCGAGACCCCTCTGGTGATGGGGCCAGCGCCGTCCTCAGCTTCGCTGCGCTAGGAAGCGCTCAGGGTTAGTGAGTGGAGGGGGGGCCTTTGCTGAGGGCGGGGGGAAAAAGCTGATGTCCCCAAAGATTCTGGTAGGACTCCCTTTACTGGAGGAGAGAGAGAGAGAGAGAGAGAGAGAGAGAGAGATCCCATCACTGGTTCACTCCCCAAATGCCTGCAACATCTAGGGCTGGGCCAGGAGCCAGGAGCTCCTTCCAGGTCTCCCACGAGGGTGGCAGGGACTCCAGCACGTGGGCTGTCCCCTGCTGCCTCCCAGGGTGCACATGGGCAGGAAGCTGGATCAGAAGCGGAGCCCAGGCACTCTAATAAGAGACTGGACAGAGCCTGGCCAGCTTAGTCGGTACAGCATGAGGCTCTTAATAATGGGCTGTGGAAGTCTTAAAAAAAAGATTGCCCAGCACAGCCTGAAGCTGGTGTACGGCAGTTTGTCCTCATTTGATGTTTCTCAAAAGCTGTGTTTGATCACAGGGTGATTTTAAGTCCCAGACACTGTCTCACTTCTACACGTGCAGTTACTGTGTGGCTGCTGCGTGTGGCTCCACGCCCCAGCTCACCTCTGCTCAGTCTTGGTGATGTGAAACCCACGGTACCGGTACGTGGCGGGCACTAGCTGCCGGTTCATCTGTGGCCGCGTCCCGGGGAGCTCTTGGCAGGGGCTCTGCCCTCCTCGCAGACCCCAGAGTGGGCCTGAGCGCCAGTGGACCCGGAATTCCTGTTCCGGAGGTGCAGGTGTGGCACGGGGGCCGGAGAGCACAGCACCAGCCGTCCGTGTGTGTGTGTGCGTGTGTGTGCACACATGTGTATGTGTGTGCGTGTGTGTTCGTGCGTGACAGTGCTCAGCTTCATGTTGAGACTGACACGAGAGTGGAGATGAACACGTGTGTTCTTTTGCACCCTGCCTGTTAAGAGCCACTAGTGTCGACTCCAGCGGCAAGTCGGC